AGATGAATTTTGCTCGGCAAGAGGTTTGTTGATGGTGTTGATCAACTTTGAAATTCCTTGCCGGACGGGTTTTCCTCGGCGAAAGGTCTGTTGGTAGTTTTGATCAACTTTGGAATTCCTTGCTGGACGGGTTTTACTCGGCAAGAGGTCTGTTGATGATTTTATCAACTTTGGAATTCCTTCCCGGATGGATTTTACTCGGCAAGAGGTTTGTTGATGGTTTTAATCTTTAGAATTCCTTGCCGAGTTGATCTTGCTCGCCAAGAAGAAAGTTGCTGAGCTGACCTTGCTCACCTACCTTTGATTTCCTTGTCGAGCTGATCTTGCTTGCCAAGAGGTAAGTCGCCGAGCGGACCTTGCTCGCCGACCTTGGAGTTCCTTACCGAGCTGATCTTGCTCGCCAAGAAGCAAGTCGCCGAGCTCACCTTACTCTCCGACCTTGGAGTTCCTTGCCGAGCTGATCTTGCTTGCCAAGAAGTAAGCCGCCGAGCGGACCTTGCTCGCCGACCTTGGAGTTCCTTGCCGAGCTGATCTTGCTCTCCAAGAAGCAAGTCACCAAGCGGACCTTGTTCGCGACCTTGGAGTTCCTTACCAAGCTGATCTTGCTCGCCAAGAAGCAAGTTGCGGAGCAGACCTTGCCTGCCGACCTTGGAGTTCCTTACCGAGCTGATCTTGTTTGCCAAGAAGTAAGGAAGTCGCCGAGCAGACCTTGCTTGCCGACCTTGGAGTTCCTTTTTGAGCTGATCTTGCTTGCCAAAAAGGAAGTCGCCGAGCGGACCTTGCTCGCCGACCTTGGAGTTCCTTGCCGAGCTGATCTTGCTTGCCAAAAAGAATGCTGCCGAGCTGACTTTGTTCGCCGACCTTTGAGTTCCTTGTCGAGCTGATCTTGCTCACCAAGAGGTAAGTCGCCGAGAGGACCTTGCTCGCGACCTTGGAGTTCCTTGTGGAGTTGGTCTTGCTCGCCAAGAAGAAAGTCGCCGAGCTGACCTTGCTCGTCGATCTTGGAGTTCCTTGCCGAGCTGGTCTTGCTCACCAAGAAGAAAGTCACCGAGTTGACCTTGCTCGCCGACCTTTGAGTTCCTTGCTGAGCTGATCTTGCTCGCCAAGAGGTAAGTAACCGAGCGGACCTTGCTCGCCGGCCTTGAAGTTCCTTGCCAAGCTAATTTTGCTTGCTAAAAAGGAAGTCGTTGAGCGGACCTTGCTTGTCGACCATGGAGTTCCTTGCCGAGCTGATCTTGCTCGCCAAGAAGCAAGTCGCGGAGCGGACCATGCTCGTCGACCATGGAGTTCCTTGCCGAGCTGATCTTGCTCGCCAAGAAGTATGTCACGGAGCGGACCTTGCCCGCCGACTTTGGAGTTCCTTGCCGAGCTGATCTTGCTCGCTAAGAAGAAAGTCATCGAGTTGACCTTGCTCGTCGACCGAGCAAAGTGAACCACCGAGCGAAAAGTCTAGTCCGGCCTTGTAATGTAATTCCGGTCACGTAAATGCGGACAGAATTAAGAGGCAATTGTGAGGGAGATTTTATAATTTGGCTTTGGGCCGTGGTAGAAGCCGGACACGATAGAGCCGAACATGTTTGGGCCGAGCTAGTTGGGCCAGACCAGAGTGGGTTTTGCTCGGTCGATGCTCAGACAACCTATTTAGGCCGAGCTAACTGGGACTTCCTTGGAGTTGGTCTTGCTCGGTCGAGGCCCAAGCCCCAGGACGAGGTCCCGTGTTTAGACCGAGCTTACTTGGCCGAGATGATCGCCTGCCAACCCAGGTTCCATGGTTCGCACGTGTAGCTCGGCGGGAAAGGCCTTTTGTTCGCCGTCTCGACCTATCTTGAACTCGGTTCTGCCAAAATGCTACCGAGCTCGGCTGTGAAGGAGCTCGGTGAGTGGAGCACTCGGACTCGTTACGCAGCACAGTCGTGGAAGGCCGAGGAGATGCCACCGAGCTGCCAAGTTCCCGCTGATGTTGTCTGGCGGTTTGGTTAGGTGGTATTCGCTAGATTTGTGCTGACAGATGGGAGAGCAGCTCCACGTGTCAAGAGACTAATGGGTGCAGAGTTGAACGCAGAAAATATATAAGCGTGACTGCGCCCCCCATGTTGGGTATGGAAGATAATTTGGTGAGATAAATCTATACATTCAGGCCCCGTTTGTTTTAGGCTATAGGGAGGGTGTTGGGACTAGTAATACCAAGGTATTACTAATGCCCTTGTTTGTTTGCAGAGATAGCCTTGGGACTATTAGTCCCTTGGTATTACTAATACCCTTAGAAGGGGGATTGGTAAGGAGGAGGTAGAGATGGTATTAGAAAAATAGTGAGGGGATTAGAAATTTTTTTATTTTTTTTTATTTTTATATATTGGGAGTTTTTTTTTTTTTTTAAATATAATGTTTAATTTTTTATATTTTTATATATTTTTTTTATTATTTTATATAAAAATAATTTAACAATTCCTCATTATTAATCCCCTCACTAGCAATCCCCTCACTATCAATCCCCTCTATTCTATCCCCAAAACAAACGGGGCCTCAAGCCTCTCCTCTCTCTCTTTATCTCTGAGTGTGTGCTAACTTGACCGTCAGAAGGGTTTTCCGGCCACACACCACCGGGTAGCTCACCGCCGTTGTGTTCGCAGGTCGATCGGACGGACAAGGAGCTTGGTAGAAATGAGTACGGGCTTTGCGGAATATTTGCTCCCCGTACATTTTTAAAATACAACTCAAAATTATTTTCAAAACTCCTCTCTTCTCTTTTATTATTATTATTATTTTTATTTTTATTGTTCAATCAATCATCACTTTTTCTCTATCATCTCTTCACTCACATTTTCTTTCATTCGGTATAGGATTTGGGGTGACTGCTGTGCGGGATGCACAATAGCCATTGTTGTGCAACCAAATGGACCCATTTTGGGAGCTCATTTCGATAATTCGAACCGTTCATATTTTAAAATACATCAAGTAAAATATACTTACAAAAAATTAAGTTAATCGGATATCGTTTACCCTTTTATCCACTCAGTCACCCCAAATCCTTCCATCAATAATAATAATAAAAAAAATACACAAAACTATTTTCAAAACTCATAACCAAACAAATTTTCTCTTTTAAAATCATGATTCAAAAACTCAAAACTCAAAATATAACCCTACACACAAATGACAATTCTAAAACTAAATCAACCCCTAAAAATTATTCATAATTTTATATCTATATGAACTTTCATTTCATGCCAAATTCTGGGACCTAGCGTATTTGATTTACCACAAGCTGAACATTCTTATTTTAAGAAACAAAAAAGACAAATTATTAGAAAATTCTTTTTTAATTTTTTGTATCCTAATTAGTTCATAAGATATTCTTATATTTTAATAGGTCATATTATTTAGACATTTAATCTACCAAATCTTAATTCTCATATTTAAGATATTTTATGGACATTTCTACCCTTACAAATATTTTTTGAACGGTTAGCAATTTGGTAATATGAACATTCGTATTTTACAATGTGAATATTCACATTGACGTGTGAATGTTCACATTGACATGTTAACATTTACATTGATGGTATGAACATTCACATCACAGAACATTCACACTGTTAATGTGAATATTATTAGGGGTATTTTGGTAATTATGTCACCAATAAGACTTATTGGAACATAAAAAAATAATATGGACTAAATAGAACATAAGTAAGTGAAATTTTTTTTATGAAAAGGATAAATTACATTGATACCCCCTGAGATTTATGTTTATTACAATTCTTCCCTTACTTTTTGAAAATTACATCCCCTCCCAGAGGTTTAAAGTTTTATTATATATTGCTCCCTCCAACAATTTAATTTTTTTAAATACCAAATTTGCCCTCACTAGGTAAATTACATTGACACCCCTTACAATTTAGTAATTACAATCCCTTTCCCAAGGTTTAAAGTAGCATTACTAATTGTGCCCTCAATTAGTATTAGTTGAAAAAAAAATTAATTGGAAAAAAATTATTTGAAATTTTTTTTTTGTTAGTCAAAATTTTAAATTTATGTTTAAAAACCAATGTAAACTCATATTTTGAATTTGCGTTTTTTCCTCAAATTTATAAACTGAGACAACCATTTATAAATAAAAAAAATTATTAAACAAATTTTTATGACAATTTTTCAAATTTTTGTAAATATAAATTGAAAACTGAAAAAGGAATGGTTACCAAACAGGTCTCAGATAGTAAAAATGTCGTAAAATTAAACATTATTTAAACAGAAATTTAAATACTAAACATTATTTTTTTCAATTAAACAGCAAACAGAAATTTAAACAGTTTACGTTGATTTTTAAACAGAAATTTACGTTATTTACGTTGGTTTTAAATAGAAATTTAAAAATTTGACTAATAATTTTTTTTTTCAATTAATTTTTTTTTTCAAATAAGTTTTTTCCCAATTAATTTTTTTTTTCAATGAATTTATTTTTCAACTAATACTAATCGATGGAACAATTGATAATGCTACTTTAAACCTTGGGGAGGGGATTCTAATTTTTAAAATGTGAGAAGTGACAATGTAATTTATCCAATGAGGACAAAATAATATTTAAAAAAATTAAATTACTAAAGAAAATAATCTATAATAAAATTTTAAATCTCAAAAAAAAGTGTAATTTTTAAAAAATAAAAAAAAAATTATAATAAATATAAATCTTAGAAGGTGTCAATAAATCACAGAAGGTGTGAATACAATTTGTCAATAAATCTCAAAAGGTGTGAATATAAATCTTAGAATGTGTCAATAAATCTCAAAAGGTGTGAATATAATTTATCTCAAATAGAAATAATGAGTAATGCTAGACATCTCAAATATTCTATCAAAAATTTTATCAAATGTCTCATATGGGTGTGGGACCCACATAATATGGGTCCCATATGAGTCCCACACCCATGTGAAACATTTGATAAAATTTTTGGTAGAATTTTTGGTGCCTCTATCATTTTTGAGAAAGAATATCAAATAATATCAATCCTGACTGATTGGAAGGCGAGAAAGTTGTGATATTCGGAACACTCTTCAATTGCTCTTCCACCGTTACTCTCTTTCCATCAGGTCTCTCTCTCTTTCTCTCTCTCTCTCTGTATATATATATATATATAAAACTTGTATCAGTGTATTATTGGTAATCTGTATTTATCTCAGATTCTATATGTCTTGGTTCAGTCCTGGCATATCCCTATTTCCGGCATCTCGCGTTCTCTCCTCCATCAGGTCTCTCTCTCTCTCTCTCTGTGTATATATATATAAAACTTGTATCAGTGTATTATTGGTATTCTGTATGTATCTCAGATTCTATATTTCTTGGTTCAGTCCTGGCATATCCCTATTTCCGGCATCTCGCGTTCTCTCCTCAATTCCAAAGATAAAAATCATTTTAGGGTTTCAGCTAGCCATAATAAGGATATTGTATTGTTTCCTTGCGATTTCTAGCTTTGGGAATTCTAAACGATAAAGAAGCATTTTAACTGTGTTTGGTTGGGAGATTTAGGAAGGATTTGAAAATGAAAAAGAAAAAAAGTGTGAAATTATGTGGAATGTAATTATATTTTTTTTCATATTTTACCTATTTTTTTTTTTCCTTTTCCTTTCCAAATCCCATCCTAAATCTCCCATCCAACCAAACACCGTGTAATGATTTTAAGTTTTTATTTTTATTTTTATTTATTTTTTATGTAGATATGAACTGATTTTATGAACATTATCTGCCTTTGGTAAACAAAGTAAACGAACAATTGAAGAATATTATTAGTAGGTAAGTTAATGGAAAATTTTATGACACTTGAGGAAGGGAAAAACAACTCTTGGGTTATGTTTTATTATTAGTTGTAATATATGAACTGTCTATATTTAAAACACTACTTGGTATACATTACATATCTTGAGAAACTAAGACCATGATATATTTAATAATTTTGCATGATTTTTTTTTTAAAAAAAAAAAAAATTAGAAAAGTGCAGTTAAGTGGGATCAACTCAAAATTGTTGCATGTGCAACTAAGCCCATGTCTGATTCAAGTGAAAGTTGTAAAACGGGACATACCTCTCACTTGCAACATGGGACACACCTCTTACTTGCTCTAACTTTCACCTACATGAAATTACATTTACTTTAAATAGTTCGCACTTAAATACAAATTTCCCCTTTTTTTTTTAACCAAAATCAAAATTTGGCAATGCCGGACAAAATGAAAATACTTTGGGAGTTAATGATTTGAGATGAAATTTAATTATACGTGGCATCAAAATTGATAAATGTCATAATTTTCATTTGTTGCAATCTCTTAGGTTGTGTTTGGAGTATGGATTTCGGTAGGGATTTGGATAGAGAAAGAGAAAGGGAAAATATGTGTGAAATGTGAATGAAATATAGTTACATTTCACAAATTTTTTCCCTTTTCAAATCCCTACCCAAATCCATGCTTTAAACACAACCTTAGGGTTATATAGGATATAATTGGTATGTTTTATGTTGGCAGGGAAATTTTGGTGCTAATAAAGTTTTACACCCCTCCCCTGGGACATTTTGTAGAACTATAAACAAATATAGATTATACATGCTTACAGTTCTTCTTCGGGTATGTGAGCCTTTAGAGTTTAGAAATATCCAAGGAAGCCTGATAGTAAGCCTTTCAGTTTTTACATAATTAAGTTTTACACCCTTGCAACATTTTGTAGGAGTATAGACTGATATAGATTATTTATGCTTACAGTTCTTCTTCGGGTATGTTAGCCTTTAGAGTTTAGAAATATCCAAGGAAGCCTGGTAGTAAGCCTTTCAGTTTTTACATAATTAAGTTTTACACCCTTGCGACATTTTGTAGGAGTATAGACTGATATAGATTATTTATGCTTACAGTTCTTCCTCTGAAATGTTAGCCTTTAGACGTATCCAAGGAAGCCTAGTAAGCTTCTCAGATTTTACATAATAAATTCATTGCATGTTGTGCCTAAAAGTTAGTTGAATTCTGTGATGGTTATCTAGGGAATAGGTTGCTGGATGGTGTTGGTTGTAGCAAGGGAATATGCTGAAATGGACATTCTATTGTTGAGGTCTTAGAACTGATTTGGTGAAAGCATGTGGAATTTCTCCCAATTTATTGCCTCCAAGGACACAGATTTTTGGGGCTGGTTCTTACTCATATTTGGCTTTGTTTTCTTTGTGGGTTTCTTCTATGCTGCAATTATATTAAAGTTTCTTCCACCATCTGATAATGCTCTCATATCTGCTATAAAGACCGACAGGTAACCTTTTGGTGTATATAAGTCTTATGTCTAATAAAATTATTTAACATTACTTGGTAACGTTGAGTCCTGTTTTAAACCTAATTGGGAGCTTTAGTGATTTACAGCTTTATCTAACAAAACAACTTCACTTGCTTAATGCTGGGATATTAGGTAGTCTTGAACTACTAATATAGCAGTGCATTGTTTATTCTCTGCAATATCGATGTCATCTACCTATGCCCGATATCAGCTTGCATTGCATTCAATAGATGTTGTACCATTGGGACACACTTGCTAAAAATAATACAAACTTTTTGCAATTAAAAACGCTAAAGAATCTTGAATAGATATTGAAGTTATTCTCTTCTATCTTTGACTTTGATTGTGTAGTGATAGTGGAATGGTGTTTCAAGACCAAATTGAGGAACCATGGTTTTTGATGGTCATTATACTTGTTCCTTTGTTTACAATTTTCTTACAGATTACAAAAGCAGTTTTCTATGCATATCTTATCTTGTTCAAGTGATTCCTCTAAATAAGTGATTAAAGTTCATTTAGGAAAGACCAGGTGATTTGAGGGGGTACACTAAGGGTAGAGCATGTCCTAGAATTTACAATTCACAAACATCATAAAGCTCTCTTCCCCATCTTTTTTTATCATAATCTGTGCCTGCCCCTTGACCTTGACAGTGAGTAAGGATGAGAAGCAGGCCTTGAGGGCTCATGAAGGTAGACATTTGGCCAATTTGATTCGATGGAGCTCTTTTTTTTTTTTTTTTTTCCGTCCTCCATTCAACATTTGGGCAGCAAATCAATACCATTTCCTTGATTACCAAAACAAGTTCTAGAAATTAGTATCTATATATGTGTGTGTATATATGTTTTCTATTATTGTTTATTGCACACCATTTTGTTCTAGAAAAAAAATGGAACTTTTTGGCCCCATTTGTTTTCGAATATCTGGAGACTGGAAGACCAAGGATTCTAAGTGAAACAACTATATCTTAGGTCCTCTGGCTCTTTGCTTTGGAAAATGATGGCTTGTGCCATGCGCATGGTGTTAAAGTGGAATAGCATTTATGGAAGGGTACAAGGCTGGTCATGCCAACTGGTGAGGCACTTGAGAGGACAAGTGTCACGGATTACCTGTTTCAGCTTTGAAGTAGGTGGCATTCTGCCATTACTAATGAAACAGATACAAAATTGATTTTGAAGTATATATGCTTTAAAGGAGGTCATGTCAAAATATATTTGTGGCAATTAGCTGTTATTCTTTCTAGGTGGCTTTTCCAATCCTTCCATAACCTCTACAAGAATGCAAATTAGTGATCCACATTGATAGAAGTAATCCTTAAAAATGCCATCAATGCCTTGTCATTTCTGTTGATCAAGGAGATTTCTTATTTCATCTCAGTCCCATTTTTGAAAGTACAACAAATGCTTTTATGTCCTTTCTTTCTTTCTTTCTTCTTTTTATTTTATATTTTATATTTTATATTATATATATATATATACATACATATGACTCCGCCGGGGTGGTTAACAATTCCACCGGTCCCAAGCCTGGGTAAAGGAGGAGGGTTGTGTTAGGTAGTCGATAGCCAACATGTAAAAAAGCCGCTCGTATCCTTTATGACAATGAATTCTACTTTGAATCGATTAAATGCTAGATTCTTCCCCTCAAGTGACGCGTTGCACCTGCCTCCAGGTGTGTCGAAAAGTGAGCAAGGGGCGCCGTATCGACGCCTAGGTGGGTGAAAAATGGGCAAAGGTTCCCGCATTGTTCTAAACGAGCGCGAGTAAAGAACCTAGTCCAAGACTATGGGATTATAGGTTTAGGGTAGCCACTTGGAATATAGGAACTTCAACTGGTAAGATGATGGAATTGGTAGATGTTATTATTAGGAGAAGAGTTAGTATAGCATGAGTACAAGAAACTAAGTGGATGGGTGAGAAAGTTAGGGAAATTGAAGATACCGGTTTTAAATTGTATTTTAGTGGTAAGGATAGATGTAGGAATGGGGTAGAAATCATAGTTGCCAAGGGTCTTGTGGAAAATATAGTGGCGGTCATTAGGAAGGGGGATATGATTATGTTAGTTAAATTAGTTATTGGAGAGAATATAGTGAACGTTATTAGTGTATATACCCTTTAAGTAGGATTAGATGATCAGACTAAGAGGGATTTCTGGGAGCGAATGGATGAGATCTTACAGGAGATATCCGTAGGAGAGAACGTAGTTAAAGGTGGAGATTTCAATGGCCATGTAGGCATAGATAAATTAGGCTATGAAAAGGTGCATGGTGAATGCGGTTTGGGTGATAGAAATGAGGCTAGAGAGAGTATCTTAGATTTTGCATTGGCTTTTGACCTAGTGGTGGCCAATACTATGTATAAGAAGAGAGAGGAGCATTTGATATCTTTAAGAGTGGATTAGTTAAGAGCCAAATATATTATTTTTTAGTGAGAAAAGTGGACCGCCTAAAATGCAGTGATTGTAAGGTGATTCCTGGAGAGCGCTTGACCTCTCAACATAGGATTTTGGTACTAGATTTATGTTTTAAATGGCAATACCAAATTAGGAAGAATGGTGGGCATCGTAGGACGAGATGGTGGGACCTAAAAGGGGATAAACTAGAAATATTTAAGAATAGAATGGATAAGGGAGGTGCTTGGGACTTGGAAGATGATGCTAACACTATGTGAAACTCGATGACCAATTATATGAGGAGAATCTCAAGGGAAGCGCTTGGAGAGTCGAAAGGAACGGGACCCAGTTTTAGAGAAACTCGGTGGTGGGGGGAAGAGGTTCAAGTGGTAGTTAAAGCAAAAAAAGGAGTGCTTTAAAAAGTGACAGAATGATAGAACTGAGGAAAACCTTAAGAGTTATAGATTGGCTAATAAGAAGGTCAAGAAAGTAGCGAGAGAGGCTAAGTTGAAAACTTATGATGACTTATATACTAGGCTAGATAGTAAGGAGGGAGAGACGAGGGTATACAAACTTGCTAAGATACGGGAGAGGAAAACAAGAGATTTTAATCAAGTTAAGTGCATTAAGAGTGAGGATTCTAAGGTATTGGTGAAGGATAAAGAGATTAAGGAGAGATGAAAGAATTATTTTGAGAAACTATTAAATGAGGAACATAAAGGTATGCCAATAGGGGAAGAAATAGCCAGTAATACGATAAACCAAGACTATAGGTTTTATTGTAGGATTATGAACTTTGAAGTGGAGATTACACTTGAGAAGATGAAATTAAATAAGGTTTTAGGACTCGATGATATCCCTATTGAAACTTGGAAGTGTTTGGATAAAAAGGGGGTTGCTTAGTTGACAAGGTGGTTTAGCAAATTTTTTTTGACTAGGAACATGCCAGATGAGTGAAGGAAAAATATTTTATTGCCGAACTATAAGAATAAAGGAGATGTTCAGAATTGCAACAACTATAGAGGAATCAAGCTAATGTGTCATATAATGGAAGTGTGGGAGAGGGTGATAGAACACCGATTGCGAGATATAACAGAGGTGTCAGAGAATCAATTTTTAGGTCCATACTTATTGCCAATTCCGCAAACAAGCTTGGGTTAATCGAGTTATATTTTTCGTTGGTTTTTTTGTCTTCTTGCTCGAGTGAGGAAAGTTGCGCTCTAGCGAAGTTTTTACCTTCTCAGTAGTTTGGCTTGTTTGCAAAAAATACTGTGAGGTGTGAGTTTGCGCTCGAGCTTAAGTTCCAGTGCTCAAGCGTAGACCTTGGTTTGGAACATGCGTTTTGGTTACAGCGCTCGAGCGGCCATTCCTGTGCTTGAGCGGAGATCGCGTATCCAACTGCTATAAAGCTGCAGTTTGCTCTGAATCTAGGGTACGACTTCCAGATCTTCTTTGAGGGTTCTAGGGTTTTCTTCCAGAGCAACTTTACTAGTCTTTTTTGATGTTGTGTTGAGTCTTAAACTCATGGTTTAACATGTATACATCAAAGAAGTGACTGATTATTCAATAACAAGAGTGTTTCTTCTTCGGTGGAATCCGGAGATTCAAGCGTGGAGTATTCGAAGGAGTTTGAAGTTGTGTGCAGTCGTTAATTCAACATGGATGTCGTGGATTCAACATTAAGCTGATCAATTCTGAAACGAAAGCGGTGGTGAAAGAGATACATATTGTTGAAGACAAATTGATTGCGTTTTGGGTAATTTGTTTTGGTAAATTTGTATTCCTTCTTTCTTTCTTAGTGGATTGATTAGTGGCGTTTTGCTCGTGGTTTTTTTAATCACAATTAGAGGTGTTTCAATTGTGATTTTTCCACGTAAAAATCTGTTGTGTTGATTTATTGATTTTGAAACAACAATCTAAATCACTGTCGTATGTGCTAGATAATTTAGATTGTTAGTTTTAATTGTTTGGGTATTGTTGTAATTAATCTTGATCAGAATCTCAAATCACTTAGGTTTTACAATTGGTATCAGAGTAGGTCACTCTTCGTTTTTATGAAAACTATAGGAGTGATTTTCTGTGATTTATGATATGGATTCAATTCGTTCGTGAAGGTAACTTGACCCATAGACCTCGTTTACTTGATGGTACAAACTATTCATATTGAAAAGCTCATATGAAGGCGTTTTTAAAATCTATCGATGAGAAAGTTTGGCATTGTGTGATCTATGGGTGGAGTGAACTTCTTGTCACCATTGATGGTGTTGATATCCTCAAATTACTCGATAGATGGGACGCAATCGATTATCAAAACTCGAGTTGGAACAGTAAAGCTCTCAATTCTCTCTTTTGCTCCGTCACACCAGACGAGTTTCGTCGTATTTGCATGTGTGAGGTAGCAAAAGAGGCTTGGGACATTTCTGAAACTATTCACGAGGGTACTACTGCTGTTAAAAGATCAGAACTTCAACGTCTCACCTCCTCTTTTGAAACTCTCTTTATGCGTGATGATGAGACGTTTGATGATTTTTATGCTAAACTTAGTGACATCGCGAATTCTTGTTTTACACTCAGAGAGAAAATCCCTGAATTGAAGGTTGTTAGGAAAATTTTGAGGTATTTACCTGAGAGGTTCCAATCAAAAGTGACAGCTATTGAGGAGGCTCAGGATGTTGAGAACGTCAAGCTTG